AACTACAACAGTAAAACATTCATTACTTTCAATGGCTTAGTTGCAAATAGCCATATCTACACTTTAAACCATGACCTACAATCAATCAAACAAAGAAAGGATGGAGATGATTACACTAAAGATGTAAGAGGAATAAGTAACAACTACTACGTAAATGATAAGAAAGAACCATTGAAATACAAAATGATTAAAACAATTGATGACCTACTGCAACTGAAAGAAGAAGATGAATACAAAATCATTTTGGAAAACAATTGTTTGAACAAGGCACTGCATGACTTAAAAGTATCTGGATACACACCGCAAGTGAAATACAATGCACATAGGACAACTCAAATTGTCATAGAACTCACTCACAAAATTGCTGAGAAGAAATTTAAAACTGTAAAATATACAATTGAAACACAGTCATTGAATGAGGATAAAATAGATGAAGACATAGCGGTAAATACAGAAGAGAAACATAACAAAGTCAGTGCGGAAATGTTCAAGTTTCACAAGCAACTTTTCAATGACAATTTTAAATCATATTATAACGAAACCGATGTTAAGATATTGGATGAATGTAGGACAATAGTTCCAAATGGACGATTTTATGGAAGAGATATTTTTGATGAGGTTAGGAAGTGTAGCATCGATAGGAGAAAGGCATACTCATATCAAGCCAAAATGATTTCAAAAGTTCCGGTGTTCAAAGAATTTGATGTGTGGCAACATTATGACTATTCAAAATGTGATGTTCATAGGAACGGCAATTATACATTATATTTAGTCAAAGTATGTCAAGCCAATGTGTTTTTCAACAAAAAGTTTAATCTGGTGTATGGCAAGCATCTGAAAGAATTGATTAAAAGAGGTGTCGCTATGAAAATCATTGCATTTAAAAAGCCATCCTTCATACACAAAGTTAAGTTTAACAAAGCATTAGAAGAACTTTACAAAAGTAAAATCAGTGATGATGAAACTGAGAATAACAAAATTCACAAGACCATTGCAAACATTGCTTTTGGATTATGGGAGAAGAGTTACAACAAAAAAACTGTGAGTAGGATTTTCAACAATTTGAAGGAAGCTTTGGCTCATCAGAGAAAGTATGATGGAAGAATTTATGTATTAGATGAGGTTGAGATGGAGACATACCAAGAGTGGAGAGAAGTTGATGATGATAACCCATTTTGGGACGATGATTTTGATTTTAAACATGAAAACCGTAAATTATACAAGTGCTTAAGAAATCCCGAAACATTGAAATGCAAAGAGAAGACAAGAGAAAGCAAATACTATATTGTGAGTGTAAGCGGTCAGAGACAAATGATGAACGGATTTAGGTATCTGAAAGAATTACTTTTACAGAATCATAATTTTGAAATGTATGATGCTTATGAAAGGCTGAAGGCTAAAAACATCGAAGTGTATGCTATTAAAACTGATGCTTTTCATATTGCATACGCTGACTTCAAGAAAGCTAAAAGGATTTTGAAATTTGGTAGTGAAATTGGCGACTGGAGATTTGAAAAGGACAATGTGAAACAAGTTGAGAACATCTACCATTGGCAAAATAATGATATTCCAAAAATACCGGTATATAAAACTGAAAGGATAGAAACACCCGATGAATGGGATACTGAGGCAATTGCCAAACAAATCATTGAAAAGAAACAAGTAATGATTAGAAGTAAATTTGCTGGTGGGGGTAAGTCTCATATAGGCAAACATCTTCAAAAAATGGGCTATAATGTTTTGGCAGTAGTTCCACAGAACATGTTAAAACAAGAAACTGAATGTGATGCAGTAACATTGAATACCTTTTTCAGTGTTCCCGTTCATAAGGGAGATAAATTACCATGGTTTGATTATAGCGGTTTTGATGTGATATTTTTTGATGAAATATACATGGCAAGTCCATATATATTGAACAGAATTAGGCAGTTCGTTATCAATAATCCAAATCTAATTATCATAGGGGCAGGTGATGTCAAACAACTACCAAGCATAGAACCATTTACTAATGTCAGAAATGTTGAGCATTATGTGGATGGATGCATTGATATAATTTTTAAGTATAACATCTTTTTAACAATTTGTAAAAGAGTAGGTGGTAAGGATACAGAACATGGAGAAAGAAACCGAGAAAAATTAAATCAAATCTATAATGACTTATGGCTTCATGATATGCCAATCAAAGAATGGGCAAGGAAGCATTTTAAATTTACAAAGGACATCACAATGGGTGAAAATCTCGCATATACAAACATCAGATGTCAAGCAGTGAGCAATGAGATAAGAAAAAAATTAGGCAAAGTAGGAGAATATAATGTCGGTGAGACATTAATATGTAGGTTGTATAAAATGGATGAGCAAGGAAAACTGAATGTGAATATAAGGCAAGGTGGAATATTGTAAATGTAGAAGGTAGAAAAATTAAAATACAAGACATCAAAGATAAAGATAATGTCAGAACATATGATAAAGATGTTATTGAAAGACATTTTCGTTATGCCTATTGTGCGACAGTGCATTCAAGGCAAGGAGCATCAATAGATGGAAACATCATTATTCATGAACTCAACAGAACTGAATTGATGAGTAAAGAATGGTTATACTGCGCGATTACATGCTGTAAGGACTTCAATAAAGTATATTTTTATGAAAACAAAGATGGAGAAGATGAGATGTTTAGAAACTTATTACTGAACTATTTCAAAAAGAAAGTAGAACATTATAAGTTTCAAGATAAGAAAGCCAAGAGAGAAATAGATGAAGAACAATACATAGATGAACATTGGTGTCTTGAAAGATTTCATGGTTGTTGCGGACACTGTGGAGTTAAATTTAATTTGGATACCAAAAATACAAAAATGTCAAGCAACTTCACCGCACAACGTTGTGATAACGAGATAAGCCACCATGTGAATAACTGTGAGAGCTGGTGTGATTACTGTAATAAGAGCGCTCATTAGAGTTTCAATATTTATTTTGAAAGTTTTTTTTTTGAAAATAAATATTATTCTATATTATAGCATATGAGTGATAATAAACAGAAAATAATTAGTGATATATATTACGATAAAAGTGGCTATGGCTCTAAACAAGTAACCTTAGCCGATGCAAGGAAAAAAGATAAATCAATCAAAAAGGAGGATGTAGATAAGTTTTTTAAAGACCACGTAGAAGAGAAACGCCGTCCAAGAGGCGAAAATTAATTTGTTCCACCACATGCCTTTTGGCAATACCAAGCCGACTTATTCTTTATCAAAGATTTAGAAAAACAAAAAACTACAACAGCTTTACTTCTAATAGACATATTCAGTAAGTATATGGTAGTTCTTCCGCTTCCTTCAAAAGACGGTGAAGATGTAGCAAGTGGATTTATTGAAGGCATTAAGAAAATGGGTAAAGTTCCAAAATTTATTTACACCGACGACGAGACAAGTTTTTCTACAAGCTACTTAGAAAAGTATTTCAAAGATGAAGGCATACACCACTACATCACAAGAGGTCATGCACCATTTGCAGAAGTTGCAATTAAAACATTCAAACTTCAATTGTATAAAAGAGTGGAAGCCGATGAGAAGAAAGGAAAGAAAAACATCGATTGGTCTGACTATATATTTGAAATTTTGCTCACGTATAATAATAAGATGAAGCACTCAACAATAGGGATGACACCGAACGAAGCAAGGAAAAAAGAAAATGAATTCAAAGTGAAGATGAACATATCAACTAAGGCTGTTAGAAATAGGACTTATCCCGATATAGAAATTGGAGATGAAGTCAAATTAGCAAGGAAAAAAGGAATAACAGAAAAACAACAAACCTCACACTGGTTAAAAGAAATCTTTACCGTCAAAAAGATTGAAGAAAAACTAAATCAAAAATATTACTATTTAGAAAATCGAAATCGTGGCTACCTTCGTCACGAGTTGTTAAAAGTATGATTTAGCTTTTAACCCAAAAACACTTAAAGAAAAGTTACCTTAATATAATGAGGACTAATCCATAAGTCTTACAAGTAAATTTTATTTTTAAGACTTATGTTTTTTTTGGAATATTTTTTTGTGAAACAAATTGTGATGAAAATTTTGAAAATATTTTTTTTGAAAAATAAAATTTAGATTTTTGAAAAATATAAATTTTAGAAATTTTCGGAAATATAAATTTTGAAAATTTTCTGAAATATAATTTTGGAAATTTGAAAAAATATAAATTTCGAAAATTTTGTAAAATATAATTTTGAAAATTTTCTGAAATATAAATTTTGAAAATTTGTAAAAATATAATTTTAAGATTTTGTAAAATATAAATTTTAGATTTTTGAAAAATATTTTTTTAAAAAATTGTAAAAATATAATTTTAAGATTTTGTAAAAATATAATTTTTAGATTTTTGAGATATAAATTTTGGAAATTGACTTAAAGAGTAGAGGTGTATAAGAAGTAGAGATGGAAGAAGTTGAAAAGAAAAAATGCACGTCCTGTAATTGTAAAAAAACTCCTGACAAATTTATTGGTGAAAATACCTGTTGTGAAGTATGCAGAACTGCTGGAAAAAGATACAGAGAAAAAATCCTGAGAGGATAAAAGAATATAATAAAAAATATAATGCTGAACATTTTGAAGAAAGGAAGGCATACAGACAAGAATACAACCAAAGAGAAAGAGAATGCGAAGTGTGTGGATGTAAAATAAAATTAAGTGGATGGGCAAGACATTTGAAAAGTCAAAGGCATCTGGAAAATATGAAATGATATTTTGATGAAATGTTTTTTTTATCAAAATATTATTTTTTTTGAGAACTATTTTTTCGAAAATATATTTTTTTTTGAGACATATTTTTTTGGAAAAATATTTTTCTATGATTTGGGCGGGCGGGTGGGATGTATTGAACGGAGGCTTGTGCTTCTCTTGCTGATATATATATATATATATATACACATATGATATATGGATATAAATACATATTGGGTCAACCACAGCATACTTGGCCTGCATGCATTCCAGGTGCAGGTTGATCAGTTGATCCTTTGGAAACGCCCGTCCCTGAGTCGGTGTGGGCCTTTCCAGGATGTTATCTCTCGCCCAAGCGATTGGAAGTGCTGCCACAAAGTTGTACGCAAGTTTGCGCGTCGGAAAGCTGGCACTGGTTGCCCCTTTATCGCCATTGGCTCAAGACATTCTGCCCAAACACCAAGTCGATTCGACGCACTCGTTGATTTCACACATCTCGTAATGTTGCCCATGTCGGCCATGTCGGCCATCGTTCCACTCTTGCTCTTGGTGAGTGTGAGCCTCGCAGCTGAACTCGAGCTCGAGGATGGCTGCTTGTTGCAGACCAAGGAGCAACAGCTTTTGGTCAAGGAGCAACTACGAGTATGTGATCCTTTGCCTCAAGAAGAGTGCTGCTGCTGCGAACTTGTTACCCAGCCCACGGGAGACACGAATCTTGCTGATTGTGCAGCCAGTTGCACGAACTATTCAGGATTCATTTATAGTGAGCTTCCATGGCATGTTTGCCGGTGCTGCAACAACGCGGATCCCACGTGTGATGAGCTGGATTATCCCCCCCGGAGCCCACTGGAGTCCAATGTATTGGTGTTTACCATGAGAATATCAGGAACCATCATTACCCAAGAAATTGTTGACCCATGTTCACTTGTGTGTTTTTCAGAGTTTCTTGTTTGTTTTGACCTGTGGTTTGCATATGTTTGCATGTTTGGAGCTGAACCTAGGTTCCAAGAAATTTAGCCCGGCAAGTTGTGACACTGTTGACTTAAAATTGTGTTTGGCTAAATTTTCGGGTCTTTGTCCCAAAGGGGCTTGGGCCAGGGGATTTAGCCTGGGAAAAAAGCCCATGAACCCCGCCCTCATAGAAATTTAGCCGGCTAAATTCTCGGTCCGACCCCTTGTACGTAGTACAACCCCGGATAATGTGGATGAAACTCATTCGATTAATACCCCATGGATTCTGTACAAATATGCTGCCTCAGCACTTGGCCGCACATCACTACTTTGGATGGCAAACATTACACTTTTCTCAGCCAAGGCACCTCCCTATGGCGCTTCTCAGGCCTGGAGACGTCAGAGAATGGCACCAAAAAACTCCCAATCGATTGGCAAATCTACGTGCACTATTCGGGGCACCAGTCCTTTACGAAGGGCTTGCTTCTCATCGACAAGTCAGGAGGATTCATCCGACAAGTGCTTGAGATCACTTCGCAGGACTGCAAGTGGAAAGCACGGAAAGGAAACGGAGACTGGAAAGTGGTCGACAACGCAAACCTCTCCATCACAGATGGTAACGACTACGTGACAGGCTTCGACCTCAGCTCCGTGGGTCCTCGTGGTCATGGCCATGGCTTTCCCAACCGTGTTCGCTTCAACATGTACACCAAGAACGGCAAGTCGGACATAGCAGTCATGAGTCTCAGTTGCAGGCCAAGCCACAACATGAATCTCCAAATCTCAATGAAACGCCAGAGCGACCAGCAGTTTGTGGATGGCGAGTTGAAGGTCGCACGCAAGTCGCTGTCTACGCTGCAGACGTCGACCGACTCTGACTTCAGAGTGGACAGCAAGTGGCAAGAGCTCGGTGGAAGTGAACAAGCAGCCTCGTACTTTCAGCTCGTTGACACACATCAAACATCCTTTTTGCAATCGCAAGGCTGCAGTGATGCTCAAAAAGGCTTGGCGAAAGAGGCTTGTTCCAAGCACTTGGGGGAGGCGCATGGCACGCCTTTCTTTGAAGATTGCATTTTTGATATTTGCCATGGCGCTGGCGAGATGCAAGCAGAACTTGCTGCAGAGCTTCTCGCTGCGACCAAAGCTGATTAGGATGAATACTGGGACGTGCGGATTTACCATATGATTTACTCGCACGACGTGTGCGATTTACCATATGATATACTCGCACGTGTCAGGGGCAGTTCTTTCCCTTGAGCACCTTCCCATAAGCGGTTGGTTTGGATGATTTCCTTGCTGTATAATACAAGCCCTCGGTGAAAAAGAGCTTGTTTCTCAACAGGTGCTGCGAGGCACGATGTGAACTGGGCACTTCTGAAGTCGGTGCAAGTTGCAAGTTACAAGTCTTGTAAGTATTGTCCCTCATATGATTGCCTGGCAACCTCTGACACCATGGTGCACCTTGAGGTGGGCTCTGTGGCGCAGAGGAGTGGCCCTGTGTGGTGTCAATGGTCAAAATCGACCTAACCATCATAGTCAATCACTGGGCAAGAGGCTTCATGCTCCAAGGTTGATGCCAACATTCCCGAAATTACGGCGATGGGGAATGGGGATATAGAAATTATCCCGGTAAGATGCCCCCAGTGTTAGCGAGAAACATCTGCTGGCAAAACTCAGGACAAGAACCTTACAAGATCGTCGCAAGATCGTCATCCAACAGCTCCAAAACGCTCTCGCAAGATTGGAAAGAAGGACCTTGTAAAGCATCTTGCAAGGTCTTTAAACAAGAACCCCCTATAGAGCTTGCATACAATCACCTCGAACACAATATTTTCACGAAATTTCAAGATATTCATGGAAGGACCTCTCAGAGGGTTTCGCCAGTATCTTTACAACATCTTCCCAGGAGATCTGCCACGCAAAATGATCTGAACATGGCCAAGAGAAAAAGGACGGCAGTCTCACAAGACGAGCGGTGCGAGCCTTGCAAAAACGCGTCAAAGTTCACCAAATATGGCGCCTGCCACGAAACATGACAGCAGCACTTCTCATCCGACTCGCGCCTGCCAACATTTAGTTTACTGTAACTAACGTGCACGAAGTATTGTGCCTGCCACGTGGATGAACAAGTGTGCCCTACATACTGCAACACAAAACGAGCTTCTGACCCTGCAAAGGTGACGAATCTCCTGCGCCTGCCACTAATAATTCACGAACTCAAAAAACGGACACAGCACGTAGCAACGCACCTTCGCAAGGGACGTCCCCAGCGACACCTTTCGCCAAATTAGCCAGGCGGATGCGCGAACCTGCGATCAACACAGCCTTCACCATTGCCTTAGAACAGTTGTGAACGCATTGTTTAAGGAATAATAGGCCACACAGATCAGGGGAATTTCTGGATTTTGTTTCCTTGACCAGGCTGCCGAGTGGATTTCCACAGTCCAGCCCTTGGATCAGACCTTTTTTGTGGCAACTTCGAGGAACAATTTTCCAAGACAATGGGTTTTTGACAAGAACACCATCGTTTGAGAGCGCCAACAAAAAACCTGTCAAAACTGGTGATCAGCCAGAGAAGTATCCATACCGAAGCGCCCTGTTCATAGCGCTGTTCCGGATAACATTCAGATTTGCTCAGTGGAGTTGCCTCATCCAATGTGCCAAGGCCATTGTGTGGCACTTCAGTTCTTGCAATCTTCAGGCGCGGCCCCCAGGTTGGGCTGTCAATTGGTTTGATTGTTGTCCACGACTTGTTTCGATCCTATCATTGATTCCAGTGAACCACTGGTGAATTCAAAATAAGTGGCCGATTATATGGAAGACAGAGCCGTTTCTTTGCCGCTGCCATTGTACCTTGAAAGCGCCGTCATCTATGAGTGCGGTATGGAGTTGATCGAAAAAATGACACCGAACAAAAGTTGAGGTTCGGGTGAAATATCACCTAAAATCCATTAAAAAAGCCCGTGCTTGGTCTTTGCATTCCTCATGAAAAAGGCGATTTTTGGATATACCACAGTGGTTTCAGCATGACTGCAAGGCTGGTTGGTCTGGTTGTTCTTCAAACTTGAGGGGTGAAGGTAAACAAGGACTGGTTTGGGGGTGGACTGGGGTGAACAAAGTGGCCACACGAGACTTGCCATCCCACTACGATCTTACGTTATCCCCAATGAGATGTTTGGTATGTCCAATCTTCAACCGGGTTACAGGAGAACTTGACCGAAACAAGTGCTGAAAATTCAGGGAACCAAGAGGAGGTAGACCAAATGGTTTTACGGGCTCTATTTAATCATACGGGGCTCGATTTTCGAATCTCGATCGTTGGAGGTTTCACCATTTCATCGCTATTTAATCGCTATTTAATCACTATTTAATCGCTATTTAATCCATTTTTTCCATCCAACTCCGAGGTTTCGGATGGTTTCGGCCCAGTGACTCAGCGCCAGTCAGCTCGTCCTGGCGCCATGGCTGAGAAGTTTGAAGTGGATCTGACGCAGCCAGGCATTGGAGATGCGGTGAAACTTGGGATCAACATTCCTCAGGAAAACCCGTGGGTTTGGGGAAAACCACATGAAAAAAAAGGGGAGTTCAAAAGCTACACAATTCTACACACATATCTGTATCTATATGTGTATATATATATATATGTATGTGTATAAGTAGTAGTAATAATAATAACGATAATAACAATGAAAATAATGTGTATATATATATATATCTATAGATATATAGATATATGTATAGATATATAATATATATATATATGGTATATATATATATGTATAAGTAGTAGTAATAATAATAACGATAATAATAATGAAAATAATGTATATATATATAGATATAGATCTATAGATATATAGATATATGTATAGATATATATAATATATATAGTATATATAGTATATATAGTATATATAGTTTATATAGTATATGTAGTATATGTAGTATATATCGATATATAGATATATAGATATATAGATATATAGATATATAGATATATAGATATATAGATATATAGATATATAGATATAGTTTTTATGGATATATCGATATAAAGATATATAGATATATAGATATATAAATATATAGATATATAGTATGTATATATATAGATATATATATATAGATATATAGATATATATAGATATATATAGATATATATAGATATATATAGATATATATAGATATATATAGATATATATAGATGTATATAGATATATATATAGATATATAGATATATAGATATATAGATATATATATAGATATATTTAGATATATAGATATATATGGTATATATAGTATATATAGTATATATGGTATATATAGTATATATAGTATATATAGTATATATATAGTATATATATAGTATATATATAGTATATATATAGTATATATACATAGTATATACATAGTATATATATATAGTATATATATAGTATATATATAGTATATATACATAGTATATACATAGTATATATATATAGTATATATATAGTATATATAGTATATATAGATATATAGATATATAGATATATAGATATATAGTTTATATAGATATATCGATATATAGATATATAGATATATAAATATATAAATATATAGATATATAGTATATATATAGTATGTATATATATATAGATATAGATATATAGATATAGATATATAGTATATATAGATATAGATATATAGATATATAGATATATAGATATATAGATATATAGATATATAGGTATATATAGATATATAGATATATAGAGATATATAGATATATATATATATAGATTTGTATAGATAGATTTGTATAGATAGATAGATAGATAGATAGATATAGATATATATATAGATATATAGATATATAGATATATAGATATATAGATATATAGATATATAGATATATAGATATATAGATATATATATAGATATATAGATATATAGTATATATATAGATATATAGATATATAGATATATAGTATATATATATAGTATATATATATAGTATATATATAGTATATATATAGATATATATATATATAGTATATATAGTATATATAGTATATATAGTATATATAGTATATATAGTATATATAGTATATATAGTATATATAGTATATATAGTATATATAGTATATATAGTATATATAGTATATATAGTATATAGTATATATAGTATATATAGTATATATAGTATATATAGTATATATAGTATATATAGTATATATAGTATATATAGTATATATAGTATATATAGTATATATATAGTGTATATATAGTATATATAGTATATATAGTATATGTATAGTATATGTATAGTATATATAGTATATATAGTATATATAGTATATATAGTATATATAGTATATATATAGTATATATATAGTACATATAGTATATATAGTATATATAGTATATATAGTATATATAGTATATATAGTATATGTAGTATATATAGTATATATATAGTATATATAGTATATATAGTGTATATATATATATACACACATTTCTGGGATTTTCCGGGGATCCAAGCCTGGGTTTTCATCAGAGCCGCAGGATTTCTTGGAGAAACTCTGGGTCGACCCGGATTTCCCCCTGGATTACCGCTCTGTGGGGATCGAGAAGGATAAAGCGATGAGCGTGGCCGGGCGACTTTTGGACCATGCCTGGTGTCCGATTTCCTACATCCATCCCAAAAAGCCGCTGCTTCCCAAAGACGGCATCGACCCAGCGGACCTGATGCAGGGCGCCTTAGGTGACTGCTGGCTGATTACGGCGATCTCGACCATGGCGGAGTACCCCGAAGCGGTGAAGAATCTCTTTGTCACCAAGGAGCACAATGACACCTGGATGAACTAAAAACTGAGATAAGCTGAGTGATTTGAAATGTGATGTCTTTTTCTTCCCCCTTTGTTAGGTTACATCATCGAACAAACATGGGGGAATCTACAGCACCCCTTTGTTTTTTTGGTGACTTTTGGAAAGCTGAATCAGATTTTTCCACAACGTGCTTCAGGAAATTGGACAATATGTCCTGCGCTTGTGGTGTGAATATTATCAAGAGTGGATTCATGTCAAAGTGGATTCCTTTGTGCCCATCGACTTGAATGGAGGTGCTGCATATGAAGGGAAGCCTGGATTGAGTCAATGTGAGTCTATGATGTTTCTTTTTTTAAATGTTTTCTCAGTGGTTAATACACCAAACATGGTGAATCTTTGGTGAGATCTTGATTATTTTAGATGGTTTTGTCTGAACATAGTGTAGCTATCCCTAAGTCCATTTCTTGATCATCATTTTATCTCTTGAAATTTCAGAGACACCCACATTATATTTTTTCATTTTTTTCTGGCTCGCTTAAATCCAAGGAAGTCTTGCGTCTATGTGAATCCAACGGATGAGTCGGTTTCTGATGGCTGGTTTCAACGATTATTTCAACTACTTTATATATTTTGATGGGATGATGATATAGATATCTTATAATAGATACATATTTGCTATTAAGAATCACACATAGATTAAATTCAATTCATTTGACTCATGACTCAAATTTTTCAGGGAGCTCAACAACTAGCATTTGGGATTCCAAGGATTGGTTACATCATTCAAATCATGTTTTGCTGCCAGAAAATAGCCAGAAGTCAGATTCCAACGGACAATTCACGAGAAATTTTAATTTCATGCATCTTTTCAAGGGGCTGGGTGTCTTTGTCTTTCCACCATGGGCCTGCCGTTTTACAAAAAAAAAAACCTATCCGACGGTGACGGAACCAGGTTTGGATGTGTATTTTGGAGAAGGCCATCGCCAAGATCCAAGGGAATTACCAGCAGTTGAACGGCGGTCTGGTTTCGGACGGCTGGAAGATCATGTGTGGCGCCAGCGACACAGACATCGAGAACTGGGAAGCTGGATGAAGTGATAGTTTCTTTTTAACGGTTTCATGGGATTATAGTGGGGTTCAATGGAATCATGAGGTTTTATGAGAATATAGTTAGATTTAATGGGATTGTAGCTGGGTTTAATTGGACAATAGTTGGATTTTCCATGGGGTTAAATGGCATAGGGTATTTTTTTTGGATTCATGGTAATGAGAATCAACAGGGGGTTAATAGATAGGGTTTCAGAAGGGGATTTATAGCAATGCGATTCAATGAATTGATCAAGCCCCCAAAATGGATGATATGGTCCTGAAAAGTAACTTGGTCTAGAGGTACTGTAGCCCTCTTTGTTGTCTACACCATCCTATACCCATAGGGTTTAACCATGAAGTGCTTAACACGGTTTTGGGGTTTGGGGGCATCATATACCCTCTGGTAATTTAACATAGCTATTGAAAATGACCATTTATAGTGAGTTTTCCCATTAAAAATCGTGATTTTCCATAGCTATGTTAAATTACCAGAGGGTAAATGATGTTTTTCCACCAACCATTCTGGACTGGATGAATTATAGCTAGATCCACGTGGCCCACACCGATAGAATTTTCCGCAAGGAAATCAGCGAAGCGGGGTGGGGGAAGAGGAAGATGCCGTTCGACCTCCAAAATCTGGATGTTCAGTGGGATGAGAAAAGCAAATCCTACAAGAATCCAGACCATGCATCTGGTCCACTCACAGCGGAAGAGTTCTTTAAATACGTGGAGGAGTGGGACTCTAACAAGTACCTCATCTGTGCAGGTATCATTGCCAAGAAGAATCCCAACCTGAAGCATGTCGATGTGGAGGAATCCGAGGGCAACTTGCAGAACGGCTTAGTGACAAAACATGCGTACGGTGTTTTGTCCGCCTACCAAGGGCATGGGGTCCAACTGGTGAGGGTCAGGAACCCTTGGGGCAAGAAGCAGGAGTACTCTGGGGACTGGTGCGATGCCTCTGAGAAGTGGACAGAATATCCGGAGGTGGCCAAAGAGGTGAACTTCAAGCCTCGTGTGGATGGGATCTTTTGGATGACCATCCAAGATTTCTGCACCTACTTCACCCTGGTGCAGGTGCTGAAGAAGAGTCAACCGGGCTCGCGGGCTGCAGATATGCCCTATGAAGAAGAGCGTGCGGCGAGGGTGAAAGCTGCGCGGGAGAAAGCTGTGCGAATCAGAAAGGAGATCCATGACAACGGCGGATGGTACACAGATGAGGCAGAAAGTTGGAGAGGTGGTATCTGGATGGATAATGGCCATACAGATCTATATATATTTTTTAATGGGGGGGGCCGGTTCGATGGATTTACCATACATCATCATAGATCCCACTAAAATTTGAAGCCAACTTTCAGCATGGGAGCAGTTCTTCTAAGCCGAAAACACCGAGGAAAGGAACCGGGCATTCGCGTCTTCGAAGACCCTGAGCTCTTCGATCTGGTCACCAAGGCCTATATGGACTTGTGGGGCATTCCCGAGAACAACGCCAAGGACTTTGCGGAACACGCCCGGACCCCGCTGCCTCCGAAGATGGAACGTGTCCTGGCCGAGCGGAAGAAGCAGCAGAGTAAACCAGAGAGCCCACCGCAGTGGATGAAGCTGGAATGATAGTGGCTGCGTTTAACCCCCCTGGTTGATGAGTGGGGGGGGGGTTGTAGAACCTCCCCGAATTTTCTTGGGGGTGTGTTGTATAATCCAGGGTTTGGGAAGTCCTCTCAACCAACCAATAGAATGATATGTCGGGTCTCGAACATTGCTCACTTCGATTGTTGGCATTTGATCCCACTAAAAATTGTCAATAGTAAACTTAGTAAACCAACTGTGCAGAGGATCACCTTCAACCACCAAGGAAGGCATGCTGCAAATCATTGCCTCCAGATGAAGTCTTTGCGGCTGGTCCAGCATCTCCCACTGCGGCAGGCAGTGGCCTGGGTGCTGTCCGCGCCTTGCAGGCGGAGCTCCCCTTGCAGGCTGAAGTTCCTGAGCCCTTTTCGGGTCCGACTGACGAACAGAGGGCGGCCATTCTGGCCGAGATGGAGGCATGTCGTTTGAAAGCCAGGGAAGAGCTTCAAGCCAGGGCGGCGGCGAATGAGGCTAGGGAGGCCGATCCTTTGCAGGATCTGAAGGGTACTAGGAAGTATGATGAAGCCAGGGCGGAGATCGCGATGCGAGACGACCTCAGTCAAACGGAGAAGTGGGCCGCCATGGGCATGTTCTGATTTTCTGACGAATTACTGAGTATATACTGTATTTTGCCCAAGTCATGCCCATTTGATCCCATTTGAATGTTGGAAATCTGGGAAAATGATGATACATTTCCATGTCTTATGTGTTATGCGGCATTCAACATATCGATTTTTGCGCCAAGCTGTTTACCTCGAATGAGGCCAGGTCGGTGCACGAAAAGTGTTCAAACAGCTAATGATATCTAATGATACTCATTTGCTGACAGCCATGCAGAGGTCAAAAAGGCGAACTGCGGTCGCAACCGGCCAAGTCGTGTTTTTGTTGGGTAACTGACAGGTAAATCATGAATGCCCGTTATAAATTGCAAATGGACCATGATCCATTATTATCCATTGGTAGCTGAATATAGCTGATAGTTGATGATTTTATTCATTGACTCAGTTGATAGTTGACTATTACCCCTATCCCAAAATGTGAAATCTCCTCGCCCCAAAATTCCTGAACAGATGCCATACTAAACCAGGGCTCCTTACGGGGTATTTCATATCAGGGGCAACGGACCCATGCCCAATCCTGAGGACCCTGAGCTTGAAGCCTCGAGGCCATGGCTAGTTTTCCGTGTTGACCAGAAGAATCAATCCGCAGTAGGTTTTCCATGGTGTACAGGTCCATCACCATTGACAGTGATTATATTATCATATATGATATATAATTGAATTCATATTATATTATCATATATGATATATAATTGAATACATATTATATTATCATATATGATATATAATTGAATACATATTATATTATATTATATTATAATTATAATTATATTATATTATATTATATTATATTATATTATATTATATAATATATATATAATATGTATTCAATTATATACATATTCCCACATTTCAGGTGCAAAATAGCAGTACGGCGGGCTGTTTCGTTGAATAGCATTGGCAGGCTGCGCGAAGATCATCCTTCATCCTTCAGTTCCGTCCTGAGTGGCTTGTCGACAAGTCCGGCAGATCCAGATTGCCATTTGCTGGTGGGCTGGACTGCAGCCTTTTGATCTAATTCAGGGTGTTCAGCTGCCTAGTTTTCCCGATGACTTCCCTGGTTTTTTGCACTGGCGCAGTGGATGTGATCCATTGCCGACTTCCAGCGGCACTGGAAGATGCCATTAGTGCTGCGCACAAGATGCAGCCAGGTGAGCCATTTTGAAAAACATTGGATACACTGGGGGTCTGCGGGTTTATGTAAATTACTTTACTTTTTTGTGATCCCCACCATGACATTTATACATGTTCTTACTGGCATATCTTCTGGCATTCTATCTGACATATCTTCTGACATTCTATTTGGCATTCTATCTGGCATATCTTCTGGCATATCTTCTGGCATTCTATCTGGCAAATCTTCTGGCATTCTATCTGGCATATCTTCTGGCATTCTATCTGACATATCTTCTGGCATTCTATCTGGCATTCTATCTGGCATATCTTCTGGCATATATTCTGACATATCTTCTGGCATTCTATCTGGCATTCTATCTGGCATTCTATCTGGCATTCTATCTGGCATATCTTCTGAAATATCTTCTGGCATATCTATCTGGCATATCTTCTGGCATATTTTCTGGCATTCTACCTGGCAAATCTTCTGGCACTCTATCTGACATTTTATCTTCCTACACGAGGTCCGGCAGGGAACACTTGGCGTGGATACTCGCGGTTGAGGTCCGGCAGGGAACACTGGGCGTGGATGGTCGTGGTTGAGGTCCGGCAGGGAACACTGGGCGTGGATGGTCGTGGTTGGGGTCCGGCTGGTCGTGGTTGAGGTCCGGCAGGGCACACTGACGTGGATGGTCGTGGTTGAGGTCCGGCAGGGAACACTGAGCATGGATGGTCGTGGTTGAGGTCCGACAGAGAACACTGTGGATCGCGGGTCGCAGTTGGACGAGGAGGACGAGGAGGACGAGGAGGACGACGAGGAGGAGGACGACGAGGAGGAGGACGACGAGGAGGAGGAGAGGAGAGGAGGAGGAGAGGAGAGGAGGAGGAGGACCAGGCAACTTAGATAAAATCTAACAACCCTCACCTGGCAGGTGGGGAAAAAATGTAATGCTAGTTAGTAACCAGTATTAATTTAGAGTCATATGAGGATACTATCAAGCAATAATCGGATCTGGGGAACGAAGATCTTTTGGGGATGCTGTAGTGGCCACAACTCCAAGAGTTGTGTTGGGTTCATGGTAGGTATATCTGCAGGAAAAATGGGGGTTATAAGTTATTTTTGCCAACTTCAAATTGAGAACATGAGTCGTAAGTTGTAAGATGCCAGAAGGATCAAAATATGCATTATTCCGAAGCCATAGATGCAGGTTTTAATAGGAAAATCATCTATAAACGGTTCATTTTTTGGATTGTTTGATTACCAGGTGCTATTCATGTCTCTGTATGAAATCAGTCATTATGGGGCATCGAACTAGGACTATGTGAAGGACAATTCAGGGTGGCAACCGCCATTTCCAACAAACCCAAAATATGCCACGCCATTTAGTCGAAACTAGACATAATGCATTGGCAGAGTGCATGTTGTTCACTCACTCGGTTGGGATCGTTTTGCAGATGCACTGATTCGAACCTATTGAGATCTGGCTCAAAGCAGCAGACTTTCCGGCAAAAACATGATACGCTATAGATATGATGTAACTGTGTATACATTGCATGCATAAAATAAATACGATGCGATATCATTGATAGCATGCACATGCGAACGCGTACGTACATGTACGTAAATATCAATCTATATCTGTACATATATATATATATATGTATCATATATGATATATCACTATCTGTATCTAATATACATCTAGTCTACATCAGTATATCTCCGTTTTTGCGTAGCATGTCGCGCCAGGGCGCCCGGGAGTCGCCTTGGAGGTGATGACTCAACAGCTTCCGCTTTGTTAGCTGCATTCAGACATTACCGCTGAATCTAATTTTCTATTGCACAAATCAAAGGTTTGCTTTACTCACGCTTAGCCCGTTGACATCCGGATGTCCGTTGATTAAATCATATTTGAAGATTTGAAGCGCTCCTGATGGGGAATCTTGTGCACTCCGCAGAGGGTGAACCCCCGAAAGTCCTTCAACACAGTGGTTTGTTAATCGGTTGTCAAGGGTTGCTAATGCGATAACTCCATGCCAAGAATTGCACAATTTAGAAGTAAACGCACCCCCTTGGCACGTTGCCACATGTTGACGGGAGCTCCATGATGTCTACTAGGGCGCTGGTTTGAGACCCGTTGGACCACAGATTTGGGTCATTGCTGGTAGATAGCAGCCGTATTTCCAGGTTGCACTGATCCGGATTTGTCCTCCGGGGAGAATCAGTTGCAAACATGACGCATATCATCGCATATCCATGTGCTTCTACCCCGTGGGTCAATCCAGCAGGTAGGTTATCCTGATTAGAAACAGGCGAAGAGAGTTAGTGGGGTAAAACCGATAGCAAAACCACCGTTTGTGACGCTTAAGGCGCCCCAATGGGTTTGCCACACTCCCCCATTTCACAACCTAAAGATCAAACAGCGTCTGTGCGCGGTCGCTCTGACTCCGAGCCCCTTTCCACCCAACACCCAGGTACCATGACCTCCTTGTCCCGCTTGCTAAGCTGCGACTTGGATGTTAACCTGCGCATGGGAAACCTGCAACACATCATGGACAAAACAAGAAGAAGGATGGGAGTTGAGAGGGGTGTGGATGAAAGCAAAGACATGCATATGGTCACACACACACATATAAAGATATATATTAATAGACTGCATCGAAAACAAACAAACACATGTTTATATCATATTGTATCTATATGTTTAATCATGAAATATCAAGGTATAATGAACATAGAGAGAGATTCACATGTATTGTATCGATTGTTTTGTCATCATTCCCAGGCGGATGAAACTCCTGTGGATTCTCCGGGGCACAGCTCCACAGCTCGCTTCGTCTTCGAAAGGATGAGATTTTTGTAGGAAACCTTTCAACTGGTTTGCTGGGAAAGAAAGAATCGATTGTAGAAAGAAAAAAAGGTGGTAATTCCATGTAATTCCATGATATACAATGGAATGGTGGGGTTAGGGTACCTACCCATCATCAAGGGGGTTGATTTCCTCACGATTCACGGGTGACCTGCGTGAACTTAGGCTGCGAAAAGGTGCAGAAACTGTGGGAAACGATTGACAGGAAGTGAACGGATGCAACTGAGATGTTCAGAAATTCAGAAATGGATGATGGTACTATATGGTACTTAGAATTTGGGATATCATTGGGATACGGATAGTGTATATACAATTGGAATAAATGTATCACCAACAATTTTGGGAAACAACTTTAAATTGTTGAAAAAATGATTCTCACCCAGATCTTGCCCAACCCGTGGTGTTAATGATAGTTTTGAAACAACGATCGCTTCCGAGCTACATCACCATTTTTTTTTGGCTTCATGGCTTCAACCCCAAGCCGCGCCCTAAAGACCTGTCTGCAGTGTTGTTGGGTCCCCGGTTGGTTCATGCCCAATCGCCGTGGTGAATATCCTTTGTTTGTAGACAAAAATGGCAAGTTCTGGTTCATGTTTTTTGTATCCACAGCATTGGCGTCCCAAATGCCATGATTCATTAACATTCTCCGCATGGAGATTGCAAGTTTAGGATATCCCCCATGTGGAGACAGGCCCCAACTCCGAATGTCCATCCCCAACTCACTGGTTTCATTCATTTATTCAAAGACGTCCTTCAGGTGGGCGGCATCCAGATTCTCCAGGAAAATATGATTGTGAAGAAGTTCGTTTCATTTTCCTGGATGATTCACAATAACATGGATGAACACTAATATAATTACCATTGGAAAATAGAACATGGATGAACACGGATGATTCAATGGTCCATTCATAGATGATTTACCGGAAAATGTCGATCATTTTCCAACGGGTTCCGGGTTCAAAAAATTTCCCGGTGGCAGGGGCCGCGTCG